AGTAGTAGTAGTAGTAGTAGGCTTGCTACGTGCACCCGCGAAACAAGATACCCCAAGTTGTGTGCAACTGCCATGACATCCGGCAGAGCTCTCAGAAACAGGCTCGCTTCAGAGTAGCCCCCGGGCTTCTGCCTTCAAAGACGTTCGGCGGCTTCAGAATGGTTTCGGGGTTGGGGTTTTAGGGCTTAGGGTNNGTTTGGGGTTTAGGCCGGTTTAGGGTTTATAGGGTTTCGGGGGTAGGGTGTAGGTGTGTGTGTGTGTATACGGGGTTGTGGCTGGGAGATTTATAGCATTTAGACACATCATGTTTTGAGGTACATGCTGGGTTTGGAGGCTTGCGATGCCCCAGCCTAGTGTCTTAGATTGCAGCAGTCCACGAGACGGAAACCTCACAGGCATCAGGAAAAGCCGCTGGAGGAGCATCGAAACTGAGTATGCTTTGCGAGGATCGGCTTGTACAGTTAAAAGCATTCCAAACTTTTAGGTTCTGGCAGAAACTATGAATACCGCGACTGGCGGCCACCGTCACTAAAGTGGTACGACCACTACAAGTGCTACGTCAGCGACGGCTACTACACGTACCAAAATCACCGCCGCGATATGACGGGGACTGCGGCAACATTACTGACGAACAAGATAGAACTGGCAAAACTTTGCTGTCAAGCTGAACACTACGAGCAACACTGATCTGACACTATCAGCGTGGTTTCTGGCAGCTCTACAGTGTTGACGTTATCCGAAAACAGAGCCTACTTAACAAGGAGTCTGTTCAGCTCATGTCAGATCAGAACCCTAAAACCCAAAGCGATACATATCCCTAACTCAGAAACTCAACGCCCCGCGCTCCAAACTCCCGTATACATGGCTAAACAATTAAATCAGAAAGTCGGCCGTAAACCCTAAAGCACTCAACCCTGGGAGCTATGCGTGCCTGTTTGCTTCCTTCAATGACTGGGCGAGAGCCCATTGGAGCTGCTCATCCTCCTTGGCCACATGTTAGGGTCGAGGGTCTAAAAGCTTTCGGGTTTAGGGCGTTTAGAAACCGGGTTAAACGGTTTTACGGGGCCAAGTGCATGAACTCGGCCTCGCTTGGGGCTTCTTTTTCACTTCGGAAGTTGCGCGCATTGGTCTGAGCGAAGGTGGTGATGCTGATGAGTCTCCTGGAATGGATGTGGGTCCTGCACGGACTCAGGATGACCTGGGGCCTGATGTCTCTCATTCCGCAGTCAACTTTTTGGGAGTTCAGCAAGCCTGTGGCGCTTCGTTCGCACGTCCTGAGTTGTCTTAAGCTGGAGCTAGCAGAGACACGTCCGAGCAGGAAGCTGTGACAACTATGCCATTGCAGCAAGTAAAGACAGCAAAGCCACGAAGCTTCTCCCCCAGCTGAGTAGCCCACGGTAGTCAGTGCCGGCTGCTTCTCAGGGCCTTCCCGACCACTCGGCTGGTGATGTTGGCTATCATGAGCTTCGCACAACCATATGATCATCGTGCTTATTTGGTCGCCATCCTGTGCGTCTTATCGTACAACTCCACTGCTAGATCTTCATCCTCGCCGCCTTTCACTCCCGGCGGGCCTTCCCTTGGCGCTCCATTGAAATACTGGGTTGTAGTTTCGGGCCATAGAAACCATAACGGAAATTTAAAAAAATCCCAAATTGCCACCTAGAATATGTGGATGGATGCTACAACATTGAAGTCCTTGTTTCTGAAGCAGATTTTCTGATCCAAGCCCAATAATCAAGCAGGGGAGGGGTACACCATTTGGACTTGACTCGGACTTGACCTACTTCGAGGTTCATGGGTAGGCAAAAGTCGGGATATCAGTCCCCTAATATGGGTTATAGTCATAGTCATAGTTACCCTCGCTAATGACTATGACTACCCATGAGCCTCCAAATAAGAAAAACCTTACAGGAACCGTTTTGGTACCCTAATCGGAGCCTTTAGGAGCCCGTATAGTGCCCCCCTTATAGGACCCCCCCAGACCAAGGCAGGCCAGGGGTCAGTCGAAGATCCGACATGTATAAGTGGATAGCAGCGCACACTGCCATCGAAGCTCTGGTAGTTTCGGGGTCGGGGGCTTATGCATCTCGGTTTTAGGACCTTAGGATGCTGCTTCAATTTTTGTCGGTGTTGGTGGGTTTCGGGTGGTCAGGTATGGGGGGATTCGGTGGGTTCGGGGCTTACGGCTTTACTAGGCCTAGGGCCCCTGACCAGCCTCGGAGAGCGGGTTTCGGATTCGATGAGGAGGGGCCCGACAGCATGTTCTCGGCCTTCATCTCACAGAGAAGCACCACTACGATCGCTCTCAAGCGTTCCTTGAAGGGGTGCTAGAAGAGTTCCCTTCAGGGGGGCGGGTTGGCCTTGCCTTTAAATGCAGTCAGGTCGTGTTAAAGTGGCATTTGGAAGGCACGGAACCCTTGGCAGCTGCGGCACATCAAGTTCTTGCCGCGGGGTGACATGTTCAAGAACAGCTTACACAAAACTGCCAAAATTGAATTTCCACACCCTGGCCGTGTGGCTGGGTAGGTTAAATGCTTCAGAGGGAAGCACTGGGCACGCGGACGCTCACACGGCAGCTCAGGCGAGCAAGCAGTGCATGATGATGGTCTTCAAAACCCTTGGCCTTGTTCAGGACCTCTTTTTCTTTCAAGCCGTTCTATGCAAAGGCTTCCCACGCCCATGCAACCCTGCAAGATCCCATTGCCTATCTGCGCGCACCGAGACTTTACCCAAACTCTCAAACCACCAACCCCACATGCCCTAGGCCGACAAATTGAAATCCAACACCTGCAAAAAAATCGAAGATACAACTCGAAACCCTATAAATCTGTCTTAACACCTGGGACCCTTAAATAGCTGGCCTCCTGCATCAGCATCGTTGCCCCACGCTCGAAGACTGATTCGGCCTTCTGCATGTGCTTCTCCTCAGGTCAGCTTTGGGCTTAATATAGGGGCCTTAACGATTAGAATAGGGCTTGGGGATGTTTTGGGGTACTAGTATTGGTAATGAACGAAGCTTCTATTAGTAGGGCTTCATGGGGTTTATGTCAGACTTGTGGTCTATCCTCTAGATGCTACTCCCAGGCGTGGGTCAGGTGTTGCTCGAAGAGGTCTCTGTTCGGACTTGTCTGCATATCTGCAAACGATCCCGCGCGTTGGACCCTAACGACTCCTAAACCCAACGCAAGCAGCTGAGAGTCCGGCCGCCTTCTTGGAGAAGTGTTGGAAATTCTTGCTCGCAGCTCTGCGCGCCTGGCGCCAGAGCAAAAAGGAGCTTGTTTCAGTACCAACACGTCCATAAAACCCATTTGCCCGAACAATTCAGGCACATCATCGGAAGGAAGGGTGCTACTGATGAGAAGTACGCAATAAACCTTCAGTCTCTGAACTCTTGCACCAGGCCCTGAAACCTCAAGCTCCGGAACCCCTAAACCCTCGCAGAGACCCTGGCTCCTGAAAACTTCCATCCTAGAAACCAAAAGCTAAACCCCACACTCTCACAACGCCACCAGTGTAGAAACTCTAAACCATTCCAGCAGCCTTCTTTTAACCCCGAGTCCCCAAGTCCTACAGCCCAAGGAGTTGTATAAGCTTTCAAGTCTATTCCGTACAACCCTAAACCCCTGAACCTTGAATCCTAAACCCCTAAACCCCAAGCCTTGTCGAGATCTGAGCTCATGGCCTGGCGAGACTTGGGCTGCTGGGAATTCGCAGGAGTAGTTGCTGTTCTTGCGCCTTCTGCGTTCATTGGGGTTGTTTAGGGCTTTGGAGGACATGTACATAAGTGTCTGAGTGGCTGATTGAAGGGCTTCGAGCTACAAGGTTTCCAGGGCCTTTGAGGTGTGTGGCTTACTGGTTACTGACTCGCACCAGTGGCAGCAGTAGCAGTAGCAAAACGAGCTGCGGAAGGAGGAGCGTTCGCAGTAGCCGTCGTCGTCGAAGTCGTCCTCGTCGTAGACGCACGGGCAGTAATTAGCACTCCTTCAATGACCCTTATCCTTGGCCCGATGCTCGGACGTCGCGTGTCTCCATTGCATGCTTTTTTGGCTGCATGAGCAAACAATAATTAATAGCCCGCATACATTCACGTATGCAAGCAATGCATACACATACATAGTAACAAACATACGTAACATAACAAAAAACCAACCAACCACCCAACCAACATACATGCATACAAAGATACAGGCACGGGCAGACACACGCACACACGCGCACATACCTACATACCTACATACCTACATACATACATACATACATACGTACGTACGTACGTACGTACGTACGTACGTACGTACGTACGTACATATACATACATACATATATACATATAAACATACATACATACATACATACATACATACATACATACATACATACATACATTACGTACATTACATACATTACATACATTACATACATTACATTACATTACATACATATACATGCATATACATACATATACATACATACATACATACATAC